AGGGCAGTTGGGAGGGACCAGGCCTGCAGGGGAGGGCAATTAGGGGTGACCAGACCAGCAGGGGAGGGCAGTTGGGGGCAACCAGGCCAGAAGGGGAGGGCAATTGGGGGGGACCAGGCCTGCAGGGGAGGGCAGTTGGGATCAACCAGGCCTGTAGGGGAGGTCAGTTGGGAGGGACCAGGCCTGCAAGGGAGGGCAGTTAGGGGCGATCAGGCCTGCAGGGGAAGGCAGTTGGGGGGGACCAGGCTGGCAAGGGAGGGCAGTTAGGGGTGACCGGGCCAGCAGTGGAGGGCAGTTGGGGGCAATCGGGCCGGCAGAGGAGTGGTTAGGGGGTGATCAGGCTGGCAGGCAGAAGCGGTCAGGGGCAATCAGGCAGGCGAGCGGTTGGGAGCCAGCAGTCCTGGATTGTGAGAGGGATGTCCGACGGCCTAGTGGATCGGGCCTATACAGGCCGTCGGACATCCCTTGAGGGGTCCCAGATTGGAGAGGGTACAGGCTTGGCCCCCCCGTGCATGAATTTCATGCACCGGGCCTCTAGTTATTAATAAACGTACATGGAACTATACTCCCAAATCTCAATGGGCATAATTGCATCTGACCATTTCAGAAATAGGAAACATGGCTTAGGAGTTAAGGTACAGTGGTTTTAAATTCTACTTCAATTATGGAACCTTGGGCCTTAACCTATCTGAGTGCTAGTTTCCTCAACTGTAGTATGATAATTATAGTATTCAATTAATAATGTTACTGTGGTAATTCAAAAAGTCTTATTGCCATGCCCATAACAAAAGTACTCAAGAGTAACAAGGAGTGGTAGGTGAGGGTTAAACGTCTTAAAAATAGAAGGCAGTAAAGAATAGCTTGCCCAGCCAGCGTGGCTCAGTGGTTGAGCATTGACCTATGAACCAGGAGGTCGCGGTTCGATTCCTGGTCAGGGCATATGCCCATGTTGTGGGCTCGATCCCTAGTGTGGAGCATGCAGAAGGCAGCTAATCAATGATACTCTCTCATCATTGATGTTTCTATCTCTCTCTCCCTCTCCCTTCTTCTTTGAAATCAATAGAGATATATTAAAAAAAAAAAAAGAATAGTTTACTTTAGAGTGGGAGATAGGTTTTAAAGATAGCATATACGGAAAAAGAGATAAGTCTGACCTCTGTGGTGTCCATTTCCCTATGGCAGTGTTCGGCAAACTCATTAGTCAACAGAGCCAAATATCAACAGTACAACGATTGAAATTTCTTTTGAGAGCCAAATTTTTTAAACTTAAACTATATAGGTAGGTACACTGTTATTAACTTAATTAAGGTACTCCTAAGCTGGCCTTTGCTAAAAACGTCCTCAATCTGATTGAGGTACGTTCGCTGAGGTCGACCCCTTCCAACTCTCCCATCCACACTCGTCTTGTATACTTGTTTCATCTATCTCCTTTCCGAAAACCGACTTCTGCGCATGGGCCGTCAAGTTTCAATCGCACTATATGTGTGCGCCCACACGTGGTATTTTGTGGAAGAGCCACACTCAAGGGGCCAAAGAGCCACATGTGGCTCGCAAGCCGCGGTTTGCAGACCACTGCCCTATGGGAGTTAACCAAAAATCGAATATTGATATTAACAAGATTTAATTTGAAAAGTTCAAATGAATTAAGTTATACCTCAAAAGTTTAATAACAGAAATCACTTAATATTGATTAGAACCTAATTTAATGACCTTTCCCCATCCCATGTGAGCCTGTCAGACTTGTACTTTCAGTTCCTTAATTCTGTACTGAAGCCCTTGAGTACTGATCAATCAGTGAGACTTCACTATCAATACTTGAAAATAACTAAAAAATACACCGCAATAATGGATCTTTACCATATGAAAGAATAGGGTATAACTATGGAGATACACACACACACACACACACACACACACACACACGCACACACATATAATATATGGAACAATAAAAAAATAAAATATTAACTTACAAGTTCTGTTAAATGTCTGAGATGTCCAATTTCTTCTGGAAGTGAGACCAATTTGTTATTACTAGCAATTAAGACTTTCAATGGTAAATTGCACAAATGTACTGGCAGTGTTGACAGTTGGTTCCGACTAAAATGGGTAAGTAGAAAAAAAGATTCAGAGCCCATTACTCAAGAAAAAAATTTCCACCTTTCCCACTCTATACACAGTAAAATAACAAATATAAGTCTTGCAAGGAACAAATAGAATTTAAGATTTGAGTCCTAGCCTACATTTCATCACTTGTGAGCTTTGTAATTTTTAGGCATAGCATTTAACCTATCTGCATCTTATATAGATTCATTTGTAAACTGAGAATCTTAATTTCTCTACCTTGTACCATAAAACACCTTTGTAAATAATAAAGTGTTATATAAGTACAACATATTATTTTATTGAAGTTAATTTATATTAAGAAAAAAATGATTTAAAAATAGGGTATATTTCCCTCATAATCATTACAGTATATACGAAGAGGCAAAATTAGTTTTAGAAATATGTAAACTGTATAATAAAATGATTACATATAAAATATTTCCAAAGGATATTTCATTTGCTCATTTTCTCCAATAAAACTTATAATAATAAAATAACAAAAGAATTATATAAGATGTGAAAAAAATGGAGTACATGAGTTGAAATGCAATTATACATTCAGAACCGAATACATAAAAATACATAATCACAAGAACCAAACGAAGTATTTGGAGAGCCACTGCAAGCCTATTAGGCTAATGACTATTAGAATTTGTCAATTATTGCAAAGACAGAGGGAGAAACTAGAGGGACATAGGAAATACTGTTAATTTAGCCTAAGAACATGTATAGAAACTGCTGATATGAAAAGATAATGTAAACTTTAGTAAAAAGGAGCAGAAAATGGAAAATGTCACATAAAATCAAATATTTTTAAAAAAAGGAAAAAAGAAACAACATCTTACCTAATATTTAAGAATGTTAGAGCTTGTAGGTTTAGAATTGCCTCTGGTATATACCGAATACAATTTTGGTATAAATTGAGATTCTCAAGAGAAACAAAATGACATGTTTCTATGGGAATTTCTGAGAGGCGATTTCGTGACAGATCTGAAAGAAAAAAATCAAGTTTAAAAATCAATCCTTGGAACTTATTTTATTGAAATGTTAGATAGGCATTTTTGTGAACGTTTGAATTACCAAGAGTTCCTATTGTGGAGATTGATCCAAAATAAACATTCAAATTTTTATTAATTGAATAAACCATTTTAATTTATGTTTCTACACCTGTTGCGGGAAATGCTAATTCTTCTTGAGACTCCACATATACTAAAAAATAAAACCAGTATTCTTTGCAAGTAACACAAAGTCTAAGGCATATCTGCCAACAAATTATATAAAAGATAATACTAACTACCCAATATCCAAGGAAACAAATGGATCCCTAAAATCCACCTTTGCAAAAGAAAAGACAACATTCTGAGGTTTTTAGAAAAGCAAAGCAAAACAAAACCAAGCAAAAAATACTGTTTCTTTACCAGTCAAAGATATACAGGGTCATGTCAAAGCACTCAGGGACCATCTTTGCTCCCACTTGCCAAACAATTTGAGCTTCAATAAAGATAATAATTGTAACAGATTGAAAGCTAGCCTACATATTGAATTATACAAGCTGATAATGAGATATTCTCCTCCACCTCCAAAAGGTAATAGAGAACCAATTCATTACCTTGCATACTGACAAAGAGGAAAATCAAACATTTATCTTGCCTTTTCTATATGAACTGAGTAACCAAATGTTTCATTTATAACATGTGTTTTAGTTATAAATGAAAAATGATAGAATATCACCAATTTTCCAACGCTCAATAAATTCTCTGATTTAGAATTGAGTATTAATGGCTGTTGTCTTTATAGACAATCAGAAATTATATGCCTCCCACTAAAAGAACAGAATATCACTTTTAGTCTTGACACAGAGACAAGAACCAAATCTAATCAAGCTTCTGGATCAGCTGCAAATTTTCAGGAAATGCAGAGGACAAAGGAATGTGCAGAAATACAGTCATTCTACCACTACCCATTTAGATTTAATAACATAGACCGTGAGATTAATTTGCGCACCACTGTTTTTTCTTCTTCTGCCTCATCTTAAAGTCTCTGTTAGGATTATTTGGTAAGAACCTTTTGCTGAGAACTGTCCTCTATCTAACAGAGGACTAAATTCCTACATATCTGCAAATATCTTGCTTTCACCATAACAAGTGAATTATATTTTGTCTAGGAATAGGTATTCTTAGAATCTGTAGATGTTATTTTACTACCTTCTAGTTTCCAGTGTCACACTGAGTAGTCGAGCACATATCTGATCATTTTGCCTGTGCAAGCGGCTTGTTGTTGTTGTTTTTTTGTCTCTGAACCACCCCTAACCTTCTCGTCTGGAACTCAGTAGGTTCTTTCAATCCTTCTTTAAACCAGGGAAATTCTCCTCAATTATATCTTTAGTTATTGCATCTCCCCAATGTGCTCTTTTCTCCTTTATATTTTTTTTGTTTTGATATACTCTAATTAATGTCCCAGACCATGAATTTGAGTATCAACAATAATCATCCTCCCCACAAATTAATATATAGAAGAGTTTTCCCCTCACTTTTTAATTCTTTTATGCTATGATTAGAAACATATAGCTTTGTCTCTCTTGAGAATCTCAGGATAATTTGTTTTGCTTGTTAAAGTTGTCATCTATCTCTTCCAATAGTTCTATTTCACTGAAGTCACTTGTTCTAGATATAATCTTTGTTAATCTTCTCTCTGGCTGCTGGAGTTCCTTTAAGTGAATTATTTTACGTTGCCAATTCATACCTTGCCTCATACTTGAAGCTCAAGCTGCTAGAATTAACACCAAAACAATGGAAGCAACTTCTACAAGGTCTGGAACCCCTCCCCTGCTCCACCACCACCATTTCCCCAGATACAACTCTTTCTAAGGACTCAAGTTTTGATTATTGCCCCATTAGTTTTACCTCCTGTTTTCATCTGGATCCCAGACTCACATACCCTCTAACAGGTCCCACTAGCCTGTGAGCCCCAGAGCTGGCTTTACTCTGAAGTGATAGTTACTAAATGAAGTTGGGAAACAGTCTTGTTAGGTATATAAAACAATGACATTGAACTTTTTCCCCATTCAGAAGTATAAAATGTTTTTTTAAAAATAAATCTTTATTGTTCAGATTATTATAGTTGTTCCCCTTTCCCCCCGCCATAGCTCCCCTCCACCCAGTTCCCACCCCACCCTCTGCCCTTACCCCCCCCACTGTCCTCATTCATAGGTGTACACTTTTTGTTGCCAGGTCAAAGGTCATACACATGGAAAATGTAGCTATTTCCATCCGCGACATGTCCCTGTGTTCGGAAAGGTCTCTCACGACTTGTTCATGCTCTACTCAGAAAGGGTACGGGGACACGGAACGGCTTTTTAAAATAATGTGTCCTCTTATGTTTAAAATGAGGATTTCGCTACCAAAAGTGAGGAGAAAGCAACACTACAGCTGCTCTCGCCCCTCTCGCCCTTCGGGTGATAGTTGTGCTTGGGGCTGCGCTCTGGTTTGCGGGCCGTCGACGAAGCCATCTGGGTGGCTCGCGCTGTTCCGCCGGCTTCCCAGGGGCCATCGCAGCCTGGTAGGGGCCGTCGCAGCCTCACAGGGGGCGCCGCATCCCACGCTGGGGGTGAAGGTGCAAGTCAGAAGCTCCTCTCGCTGTCTCTCCTGCTGCTCCCTTGCGTATCGCCGATGCTGGAAGTTTCTGGGAGCAGTCTGCAGGTGCTGGACATCATACTTTAACTGGTCAACACGAAGTTTGGCATTCTGTCTTTTGTTTGGCGGCTCCTTGCTGGACAAAATCTCCAGGCGTTCTTGCTGGCTGAATATCTGGTATGCTTGCTTGGATTTCGTTTTCTACTAAGTGCACAGACTGGTTGTCTGCTGTCTCCCGGCGTCCCATGTAAGACTGGATCTGGTGGACCTGCTTGTGCGTTTGCTGGTACAGCAGTTCCACGTCGCCGGCCCAGCCGGGTCCGGCTCCGGCTTCCTCCAAACCTGATTCTGCTTCTTAAGTGTGACCCTTATGGATGTGAGGAGTTGAAATTTGCAGTTTGTTGGGTTAGGCTGCACAAGTGCAGGTGGTTCCTTTTGTGCCACTGGCACAGCTTGGGCAAGGATGTAAATTGAGTAGGGCGGGGTCTCCGGGAATCACCAGGGCGGAGCAAAGAGCAATGGCGTCTCCGCGACTCCTCGCCTCTCCTTGACTCCATGTCTCCGCGTCCCCGAGTGCTGGCAAGCAGCTCCGGGAGAAAGCCACCCTTGCTCTCCGACCCGCTGCAAGGCAGTCCCGCCTCTCCCCGTAGGGGTCTGGGACCTCAAAATCCTGCCCCAAACAAGCTCAGTGGATTCGAGAGTTTGCAACCCCTTCCGATTGAAAAAAACCGCGCATCCAGTTGCAGCCCGCCTGGCGTGCGACTCCGTACCTCTGTTCTTGGCGCCTCTGCACATCCTACTCAGTCTCAATGCTCTTCTTTCTTTCCTTCCAGTTGTAGAACTTCCACTGGGCCAGCTTTCCTATGGTTCTGAATGATAGCTGTTTGTCTTATAGTTGGTAGTTTCAATGTTGTTGTGGGAGGCAGCACACACAGGTCTATACCTTATGCCGCCATCTTGGTTTTCTCCTCTAAAATGTTTTTAATATATGATATTCCCCTTCCTATTTTAGGTTAGCTCCTGTATCTTTTTGATATACCATCTTCATTTTCTTTTTTAGCATTTCCTTATATTCTGGCACAACAAGATGTTTCAGTCTTATCTTGCAACTTCCATGCCCCAGTTTTGGAATCAGCTATTTCTCACCCTCATATAACATAAACTTCTGTGGCAAGTCAGACTTGGTGAATGGTGGTTAGGAGCAAAAGGGAAAGCCACCAATCCTGATGGAAGACTCAGAATAAATGACTATTGTTTTTTTGTAAACCACTAAGCTTTGTAGTGGTCTGTTACACAGCAATAGAAAAGCAAAACAGAAATTGCTACCTGGAAGTGGAGTGCTGCTTTAACAAAAACCTAAAACATCTGCTATTTTTAAAATGAGGCAGCAGACAATGGCCTTAAAGGAACCTCCCAGACCTGTTAGTGGAGGCTGGAGGGCAGTGAAAAAATTGCTATTAAAGGCTGGAGAAAAGGGCACCTTAGTTCTGTTTTGGCAGATCAATTAAAGGAACTATAGCCTACAGTAAAATGAAAGGGTACCTTTAAATCACCATAAATATATGTGATTATCTGTAGTGAAATATGTTAGTTTAAGTTAAGATATATATGACAACAAATATTAATATTAATCTTAGATCTTAATGATGAAAAAGGGTATGCTCCTAACCGGTTTGGCTCAGTGGATAGAGCATCAGCCTGCAGACTGAAAGGTCCCAGGTTCAATTCCGGCCAAGGGCATGTACCTTGGTTATGGGCACATCCCCAGTAGAAGGTGTGCGAGAGGCAGCTGATCGATGTTTCTAACTCTCTATCCCTCTCCCTTCCTCTCTGTAAAAAATCAATAAAATATATTTATAAAAAAAAGAAAAAAAAGAAAAAGGGTATGCATATACACATTCCAGCAATATTCCATCTAATTTAATTCCCCCTCACTTATTTTTAGATATCATTCAAATACATTACATATTTTTCCTTTTCAAATAATGCAGAGAAAGGAAATGATGCCAACCAAATTAAAAGACCCTCTTTGCTCACGCAAGAACATGAATTTCTACCTAAAATGGATTCTGATTTCACATAATATTGGAAAACAAACTCAATTTACAGTCTATAAATACCATCCTAAACTGTGATCCAATCCTTATAATATTTTCTTTCATCTTGAAACACTGCTCATGTCACACTCTGATAATAAAGTTTGCAAAACCATACCCTGAAACAATACAATTTAGAGCAAACTTTTATCTTAAATGGGACATATGATATAGCTTTTAGTGCTACCTCTACCATTTATACTGTCTTAATCTCGAGAACATTTGAGAATCTCCTTCTCTAGGACTTTTGGTGAGATGCTTT